TGGAAGCCTTTTCCATTTCCAACAGATTAAAGCCAATACACCAATTAACAGTTCTTCATTTTCTCTCAGCGTCTCTCAAACTAAAAGTTCACCAAAATGAGAACTTTGCTCCACTTTTTCCTTTTCATGATGACTATTAACTTAATCCAACTCTATTTTGAAGCCATCCCAGTTCAGAGCCGGTGCGATGAAGACCAGCAGTCATTATTGCTCCGTTTGAAGGAAACCTTCATCTTTAATTCTTCTCGTTCCTCCAAGCTTATATACTGGAATTCAAGTACCGACTGCTGTTCTTGGGCAGGAGTTCGTTGCACTGATGGCCTTGTTACCCGTCTTGACATTAGTGGCGAATCTATCTCAGGCCCTATTCATCAGTCTTTTGCTAAGCTCCAGTCTCTATCCGTGCTTATATTGGATGATAACGATATCTCTGCTCCAGTTCCTGGATTCTTTGCCAACTTTTCAAGCTTGACTTCCTTAAGTCTCCGTGGATGTAACTTGTACGGGACGTTTCCCGAAGAGATCTTCCAGGTGACTACACTGCAGGAAGTTGACCTTTCAGATAATCCCCGGCTTCAGGGTTCCTTGCCAGAATTTCTTAACAATGGATCTCTCCAATACCTGGATCTAAGCTCGTCAAAATTTTCCGGGTTCCTGCCAAAATCTATTGGCAACCTTAAAATGCTGTCTGAACTAGATCTCTCAGGTTGCAATTTCACTGGATCAATCCCAAACTCAGTCGCAAACCTAACACAATTGAATTTTTTGGAGCTGTCCTTAAATAGTTTTAATAGTCCCATTGATTCTATTCACTGGGAAAACCTTGTTAATCTGGAATTTCTCGAGTTGTACTCCAATCTACTCCATGGGAGTATTCCATTGTCTCTCTTTTCTCTTCCTGTGCTGAAGGACTTAATACTTTCGCAGAATCAGTTCTCCGGTCAATTACCCGAATTTGCCAACATCTCTTCAAACTTACTGTGGAACATTGATTTGAGTGGCAACTATTTGGAAGGACCAATACCTACTTCTATCTTTAATCTTAGAGGGCTTCTATGGCTTCAGCTTTCTTCAAACCATTTCAGTGGCTTTCCTTTCAATGGTCCTCAGCAGCCAAAAAATCTTTTCTTTCTTGATCTTTCCAACAATAACTTGTTGGATGATTACAATGGAAGCAGTCCAACATCTTCCTCCTTCCTTCAAATTTACAACTTGGTCTTGTCCTCTAACAAGCTGAGGGCCTTCCCAGACTTTTTGAGAAATCAATCCAGATTAACCTATTTGGACCTTTCAGAAAACCAGATTCAAGGCGAGATACCCAACTGGATTTGGAAGCTCAATTCTCTTCTTGCACTAAATCTTTCTTACAACTCCTTGACAACTCTACAAGGTCCTTTACATAACTTAACTTCTAATCTCCTCGCGCTCGACCTTCGTTCAAACAATCTTCAGGGAAAAATCCCACTTTTCCTATCATCAGCCACTTATCTGGATTACTCAAGAAATAATTTCAGCTCTACTATACCAGCTGACATTGGTAATTTCCTTCCTTCAACTGCCTTCTTCTCTCTGTCAAGCAATAACTTGCATGGCATCATTCCACCATCAATATGCAATGTAAGTGGTCTGGTTCTTGATCTGTCCAATAATTCTCTGAGTGGCATGATTCCGGAATGCTTGACTCGGCTATCAGTACTTAATTTGAGGCGCAACAACCTTACTGGCCCTATCCCGGATAAATTCAATGAATTTTGCGGTCTACAAACTCTAGACCTCAGCAGAAATCAGATACAAGGTCAGTTTCCAAAGTCTCTAGTCAACTGTACACAGTTGGAGGTTGTAAACCTTGGAAACAATCAGATAACAGATACCTTTCCATGCTTGCTGAAGAACATATCCACCTTGTGTGTCCTTGTTTTGCGATCCAACAAATTTTATGGACGCATTGGATGTCCCGAGGCCAATGGCACCTGGCCAATGCTTCAAATCATAGACTTGGCTTACAACAATTTGAGTGGTGAAATAGCAGGAACATCTTTGACAACATGGAAAGCAATGATGGTAGACAAAGATGGTTCCCCAGTTCACTTTGAATTTTCATACCACCAGGTGAGACGTAGAGGTCCGATTTCTGATTACTATGGAGATGCAGTAACAATTACCAGCAAAGGTTTAGAAATGGATCTGGTTAAGATTCGAAACTTCTTCACCTTGATTGACTTCTCGTGCAACGAATTCAATGGATCAATACCTGAGGAAATGGGAGAATTCAAATCACTCCATGTCCTCAACTTGTCCTGCAATGCTTTCACAGGAGAAATCCCATCATCATTCGGTAACATGCGAGTGCTCGAGTCCTTAGACCTGTCAAAGAACAACCTGAGCGGGCAAATTCCACCACAGCTTGCAAACCTTACCTTCCTTTCATTCTTGAATCTCTCAAACAATCAACTGGTTGGTAGGATCCCAACCAGCACTCAGTTCTCAACTTTTCCAAAAGCCTCCTTTGCAGGTAACAAAGGCTTATGGGGGCCTCCTTTGACCGCTGACGACAAAGCAGGATTGCCAGTGCCACCAGCAGCATCGAATGAAAGCCGTCAAAGTTCTGGACATGAGATTAATTGGGATCTCATCAGTGTTGAAATTGGATTTGTATTTGGCTTCGGAGTTGCCATTGGATCACTTGCCTTTTACAAGAGATGGAGGAATTGGTATTACAAAGCTACGCTTAACATCATCTTTAAGATGTTCCCTCAGCTGCATCAAAGACTAGGCAATCGAGGAAGACATGTTTACATAAACCAAAGGAGAAGACGTTGAAATGATTATGAAGATCAAATGTCTCCAAGTTAGCAAAAGGTAAGAGTAGTAGATTTCCATGTGGATGCTGTCAAATCTTGGATTATCAAGTCACAAATTACATGGCTAAATGTCAAACTTTATTGGTTTGAAATTTTTTCATGATAATGAGAACAATTAAGTTGTACGTTAATTACTACTTTCGTTATTAAAATCAGTATTTCTCTGACTATGAGGGTTGACAGATTCACGATTAAAATTTTGTATTTACATGGTTTGAATCTTTGGACACAAAACAAAAGTTATGATGATGTTTGCCACATAAGAACAAGATTTACATATCTGTTACTTGCTTGGCTAGAGGAACCAGGCAAGCTCATCTTACTTTTACTCTGTGTTTTTTTTCTTCAATTTGTTCTGTAATTTGTCGGGAGGCTCATCTTTTGTTTGTCATGATATATATCTTGTCAATATCTACCTACATTTAGTAATCGAGCGGCTCAAAAGATAGCTGACAGCTTAGTTTGGATGTAGGAAGCAGGTGACTCCTTGGTTGTCTTCTGCTTTCCAAATTGTTTTTATGAACTTGCGTTCGGGTTTTTTTTTTTTTTCATTTTTCATTTTTTCAATTGGGCAAATAGGAGATTAAATTTGAGATCACTTCTACTATTGAAAGCAAAAGTAGCTCTAAACTACGAGTGAGTTAGTAACTACACTTCTAGTAGCATTTGCATCGCCCTGCCAGGTGAACTCATTGAAAGTATAAACATGAAGGAAAAGGATGAGATTGAACAAAATAGTGTGTTTCATTGGGGTTCCAACTTCTTCTTAATGGACTTCAGAAAATAATGCTAAGCAGACAAAATAAGATGGGAGAGGGACCGGAGTATTCCCTATAGGCCATGTTTGGCAATTGGGATTGGATTGGATTATGAGGTAGAATTGGATTGTATTAGATTGGAAATGATAACACTAATCCAGTGATGTGTTTGGTACTACGCATAATTTAATGGTTGGATTAATTGAAATGTGTACATGGTCTAATATAATCTAATCAAACTTAATCCCAACATTTTGATAGGATTCATAATCCAACTACTAGTAAGATTAGACATAATTCAATTCATATTGTTTTTAAGACACTAGAGATTTGACTAGAATTATAAATCTTATCCAACTACATAATCCAACTCACCAAACGAGTGCACCTCACCTAATGTCAGGTGTTATAGGAACAAGGGTGTATTTTATCCCGGGTAAGTATATCTGCTAGGAAGGAGAGAGGATAAGGCAAGTTTTTAAATCATCCTTCATCATTTTATTTTTTTAAAATTGTCCTTTTTAACTATTAGGTCTTCATCCAATGTGTGTTCACTGAATGCAAACTTCAATTTTGGCGAGAAAATAAAAAATTGCAAACTTCATTGGTATTAAATTTTTTAATAAATAAATATATATATATATATATTACGGATTTTTGAAGTAGGTAGCAAATTGACTCATGTTGATAATTGGGTGTCATATGATAAATAAAAAACTTACCTATGACAGAGGTAACACTGTTTTACTATCCCACCTAAAATTTATGTTATTAGCCGAGCTAAAAATGTTATCCCCATTACATAAGAGTTTCTCTTTATTTGATGGTCACAATTCTGGGACCACACATCAGTTTTTTATTTCAATTTTTTTTTCAACAATCCAAACTACCTATTTTTTAAGTCTACATTTATAAATCATCCTTGCAAAAAATTGGACAAATTGGAAACTGTTTCGACATCTAATTGTGTCCTACAAAATCAATAAACACGGTGCTTTTAAAAAAATATTAAATTTTCAAAAATTCAATTAAGTGTTCAAATGATATCGGATTCAAGGAATTTTTTGTGGAGATGATCTTAAAATGAATATCTACAAAATAGACTCTTTGGATTAGTGAAATACAATACGAAGTGAGCCATAGAAAGGTGTCCCTCAAATAAACTTATTTAAGAAATCTCTCAATTGAAACTTCCTATATACATATGGATACAATGCAATACAAGAACACAAGATATTTCCCATATATGCTTACCTCCACTATTCTAATGATTTTTTTTCTTCCCCATATTCTCACATTCTTGTACCAGAATCCATTCAACATTAAATAAAAAAAATAACCCACTTGGATAAGAATGGCACACAGAATCAGAATCAAGGAATTATCCACCAAAACAGAAGAATTAACAATCTTTTAATCTACACATAAAGTACAAACTCCCTTTCACCAAATAAATAAGTTTATATTTCTTTTTTAAGAAAACGAGAGCTGGAGCATTCTTCTTGTCAAATTGCTCATAAATAAGATATGCCAAAACTTCAAGCTTTGAATAAAATAGTTATATCGATGCAGATCCCATCACAAACGCAGCAAAGCTTATCTAAATTTGCCCAATTGCACTTCATAATTGAGCTTATATAATACTCAACTTGACACTAACCTATTGCCATTATCTTCATCTTGTCATCTTTCTTGGTAAACCAAAGCAGCAAGTTAGCAACATGTTGCTCGGAAAACTCAAATCACAACACTTAATGATATTTTAGTCTTTTGCTACTCTTCCTATTCAAAGATCAACATAAAAAAATTTAATAAAAAATTATACCAAATCTCTTACACAATGGCTTCAAATAAAATATCGATGACAACGGCAGCGCATATATGGTATTATAATTGAGCTATGAAACGAGCATTCAACGTAACACTAACATAATGACACTATCTTTACCTTTCTTGGTAGCCAAAGCCCTATTTGTTACTCAAAAGGTTCAAACACAACATCCATGCCAAGTGTTTTTAATTTTTAACTATCAATTTAAGACCAACAAAACAAAAGAGACCCAATATTTACACTCAAACAATCCCTCTATACACAAAAAACCAAAGTCAATTATCATATACCACCAACAAAACCAAAAAGGTTTCCAAATTCAAGCCTAGTCATTTTTACAACTGAACTATACAAAACCATATTAAAACAAAGATCTAAAGAAAGACAACAAAAAGATTTTTATTTCATATATTCTTTCCTTATGCTTTACTCCACTACCATTCTGATGACATATTTTCCCATATTATTCCCTTCTATCTTGACCAACTTTTGGATGCAGATGCCCAATGAGCATTATAAAGACTGTTTTTTTGAGCATTAGAAAGACTGTTTTTTTGAGCATTAGAAAGCCTGTTTATGCGCCAAAACCCATTCTCTATAGAATAATTAACATAATAATAATAGTCTACTTCAATAATCATGGCTGAAAGAATCAAGGGATCGTCTAACAAAACCAGGCTGGAAAAGAAGAATCAACAACAATTATTTAATCTATATAAAGTATAAATAGTGGCATTTGATTGCAACAGACATTTCATTGAATAAAAAAGTTCAAAACAGAGGAGGCTCATTTGATTGCAATAGGCATTTCCTCATGAATAGATGCCAAAGCAACGACATGTTACTCGTTTTTACTCTTTTACTACTTGCAACCCAATCCAAAGACCAACATAAAAAATAGACCAAATAATTTCCACCACACCCGCAGATTAATAATGAATAGATACCAAATGTCACAAGGTTTTCAATAAAATACTTGTATCGATGCAGAGATCAACTTTCTGGGTAACCAAAGCAGCTACATATCAGGCCAAAATGTTAACGTATTGCCAATATCTTTATCTTGGTTCTTGTCACTTTTCTGGGTAACCAAAGCAAGTAAAATATTACTCAAAGGGTTCAATCACAGCATTTATGTCAATTAGTTTTTTACTACTATCAATTCAAAACCAACAAAACAAAAGAGACCCAACAATTTACACAAAAACAATTCCTCAAATACACAAGAAACAATGTCCATTGTCTTACCACCACACAACCAGAAAAATCCACCACAATCCATATAATTAAATTCTTCATTCTTCTTATTTAAACTATAAAACCATATAGAAACAAAAATTAAAAAACATTATCTATGAATTTATTTGTTTATATTTGTCACATAGCAGAGGCCTGGGAAGCCATGGAAGCAACAACCTTACCGTCATGAATTTGATTCAACGCACCAACACCACCTTGTCTTCCGTCTACTGCCACCGGGGCCACCGGGGCCACCGCTTGATATGAGGAAACAACACCTCCAGCTGTTGTGTAGTACACCTGCCTCCCAACCGCTTCGTATCCAACCTGTGCAAACCCTTCACTATAAGCTCCAACCTTTGCCTGATGAGCCTGCTGTGCTTGTTGAGCGTGCTGTACTTGCTGAGCTTGCTGCACTTGCTGAGCTTGCTGCACTTGCTGAGCTTGCTGTACTTGCTGAGCTTGCTGCACTTGCTGAGCTTGCTGTGCTGCCACTGCAGTATTGTATGCCTGAGCGTCCCGGTACACCTCCGGTACCATCCTCTGCGGTACTCCATAGTACGCCTGACCAACCGGTCCAGTTGCGGGTCTATGAGCCGGCGCCTGGTACACACCGGTCGGCGTTGAAATGAGGTAAACCGGCTGCTCCGGTCCAGACTGACCAGCCGCCCCCGGATAACCCCCAGTGTTCATGTGCCTCTCCGGCATATAGGCAGTAGGCATTTGCACAGGTGTCGGCATTGCCACCGGAGAAGATCCTTGCACTGGTGCTGGGTTTTCTGGAAGTTTCTGAGAGTAGTAATCGGGGGTATAAGCCCTAGGATTTCCGATTTCATCGCTTTTCCGATGATAGATCGTCGTCGGCTCATGACCAGCGGCGATTTGCATCCTCTGCAACTCCTGGATCTGCCTCTGAATCTCCACCTGAGACATCACCTGTTCTCCGACCACCTGCCGATCCTCCGATCCAACCAGAGGGCTTTTCACAAGCGAATCGGGAACCGTCGGAGGAGTAATCGATTCGGGAAATTTCTGAACCGGTACAGCCGAGTACCCCTTATCGAACCCGAACAAGAAATCAGGGTTCGTCGGCGACGCCGTGACCGGAGCCGTCGGAGAAGAACCATCGGGAGACCCAATCTGAACCGAATTCAGAGCGTCGACGAACCACTGCCGCTCCGACTTACTCTCATTGGAGCCGAAGCTAGCGGAAGGGTTGTTGCCGAGAGGGAAGAGGAAAAGCCTGAGCCTTGCGGGTTTAGCGGAAGCGCGGTAGAGGCGGTCGTACTCGATCATCATGTGTTCGAGGTCCTCGTCGTTGGTGACGGATATGAGGGCGTCGAGATCTTCACCGGGGAGCTGGTACTTGAAGCAGACGACGTCGTTGGGTGTGTCGCAGAGGGAGGCGAGCTTGGAGGCGAAAGCGGAGAGCTTGATGTTGCGATCTACGGCGAGGATTTTGGTATCGCCGCCGACGTAGGCGAGCTGGTGGTCATGCGGGCGGGGCTGGATTTTGCCCCCGTAGCTGCACATGAACTTGACCTTGTAGGTGGACGTGGCGGACGGTGGTTGGTCGTCGGCCCAGGAGGCAGTTTCGCAGTCGATTTCGCGGGAGCGAGGGGAGGACTCGCGGGAGTCCGGGTAGGAGTAATTCTCCATTGGAGAGGAGGAGGAGGAAGACGACGAGGAGTGAAGATTAGGGTTGGGATTTGGGAGCCATGGGAAATGACCAGGGTTTTGGTGATCTTGGATTCGGTGGGAGATGGGAGAAAATGGAAAGATTTTGGGTGTGATTTTGGTTTTACACGAAAATGTTTAGTGGGGTGGGATTTTTTTATATATATTTATTTACAATGCTTTGGCATGAGTTTCTAAACTTTCTAGAAGGAAAATTCTCTCCAACAACCAAAAAAAAAAAGGAAAATTCTCTGGATTATTTTTTATTTTTTAGGCTAAATGATGATTTATGATGATTTATGCACTAAACTTATACTTAATTTTCAATTGACTTCATTCTTTTTTAAAGAAAATTAAGGATATGAACCTTTTTTCAATAATCTGCCCTATTGCCTAAATCATCCATCCAATTTGCTATTAAATATAAGGATAAATTAGTCATTTCATACGTTAAAAATATTTAAATACTATAAAATAAAATAAAAACTTTTAAAAATTATAATAATAAGAACAATAAAGTTTTTTATTATAAAAAAAAGGAAAAAAAACCCTTCCATTCTTCTCTCTTTCTGCAGTGTCTCTCGGCGTCGTTACCCATGTTCCACCCCACCTTGTCGTCGCCGCCGCCCACCCAACCTCTCATCTTAAACCAATTTGCCCTAGTTCACAACCTCTGCAAAGCAAACTCTAATTTTTTCTTGTTTAAAATTGTATAAATCAAAAGGAAAAAAATCAAGATAAGGAAAAGGGGTGACAATATGAAATCATGTCTTTTTTGATTAAATGAAATAATGGAAACTTTTAATGGACAATCAAGGAAGATTAAGGATCAATCAATAGACGTTTTTCTGTTTGACAAGTGGTGGACAAAATTTCATTAGTTTAGTTTAGCTTAGATTAAAATAGAATATCGTTTGTATAAAAAAGGACATGGGCAAAATAAATTTTTATGCACGTGTTTGGCACTGCTTATGTGCTCATAAGTGCCTTGCTTTTCTAGAAGCACTTTATAGGCACATTAAATTTTATTAAATTCAGCCAACATGGTATAACCTAGTGGAAAAATGGTCTTAACTTACACATCATAAGTCTCAGATTTGAATCCCCACTACATCATAGTGTGTGTGTGTGAGAAACTCATTTTCATATAATTTAGACTATCGTTTATACTAAAAAAAATTTATTAAATTCAAATATTTATGTACTATGCAGAGGTGTCAAACAGGTCAGGCAAATATTTAGAGTAGGCCCCTTTAATAAATGGATCAAGTCGAGTCCATCCATTAATAAAAATTATTAAGTCAGGTTGGGCCCACGACCCTAGCATATCTAGGACTGGGTCGAGCCCGTGTCAAGCCACTAAACAAGCAGATATAAGTTCATGCCAAGGTCAACTTATGTATTACATTTTTTTTATGTTTTATTTTTACGATTTCATTTCAATCTTTTTTACAATTATATAATATATATATATATATATATATATACACTAACAAGATTTATTTATTGTTGAAAAAAGAGGTCAATGCCTTAATTTGAAGTACATGTAAATAGAAAAGTGCTAGACTATTGTTAAGGTTAAAAAAAAAAAAATCCTGCAAAAAAAATTATGTATTATTTTTCTCTAAAATAAATATAATTTAATAATTGAAATTTACACGAGTCGCCCCGTTGGGAAAATTGAGCCCATTCAATAATCTGCAAACTACTGGGCCTATTTTAAACGGCATGTTGGATACCTCTAGTCATAGGTATGAATCCAAACTCAGCGGACAACTTCTTGTCCCATTTGTTGGATCCAATTATGCATATATAAAAAGCCCAATAAATCAATAACAAGTTATGTGCATAAAAGCCGTAAAAAAAGTGTTTCTCTTAGGCCCCGTTTGGTTCATGGAATGAATTTGAAGGGAAATCATTTCTCATGTCATTCTCCAAAGAATGGGAATGGAAGATTCATTTCCCACGTTTGGTAATGCTGAGAAAGTAATCAGGAAATATCACTTTATTTCCTTTCCCATGTTTGTTTTGAGTAGGAATAGAAAACAAAGTTTGTATAAATTTTCAATTATACACATATTAAATCAAATAAAAAAAGAATGCATTTAATGATATATTGTAATTCTAAATTATTAATGGGGATAAAATGGTCATAAAAAATATGTATTTAATGTTAGTTCATTTTCCCAAACTTTTCCATGATGAGGGAAAACAAAACCCAAGTTGGGAGGATGGCTTCACTTTCCCCCCTATTTTCCCATAAGGCAGGCAACGATTTCACATACCTAAACTTACCAAACATGAGAAAGTAATTGATTTCTCATTCCCAAGTCTCTTTTCCCATGAACCAAACGGGGCCTTAGTTTATCAAATGCTATGTTCCATGTAATTTGATCTCATCCATGCAAAAAAAAAAACAAAAAAAAAAACAATGAGACTCCTCCAGTCCGATCCACCCAAATATTGGGGTTGTGTTATGTCGGGCCTAACTTAATCGGGTTGGGCTCGTGTCATACCCTAATCAACCTGATTTGGTTGCCAAATGTTTTCAAAAGTATTTTTTTATGTTCAAAAAACACTTTTAGCTATTTTAGAAGGGCTAAACTGCCAAATACCACCAAGATCTATCATGCTTGTTGAATTCAACATCCTCAATTATTTTTTAAATCAATTTAGCCTTCGTACTATATATAATCGCCAATTTAGCCATTGTCTTTAGTTTTTAGCCAATTTCATCCAAATCCGTCAAAAAAGTGACGTGAACAACCGAAGGAATCGACTTGTGTATTCCACAGAAATTTTAATGGATTTTAAAGAGTTATAAACTTATGCAAAGTCAATGGGTTTTAATGGAGTTTGTTAAACTTTTATCATAAAATGAAATTGAATATAATTTTGTGGATTCTTTTGGATGTTCTAGTGATTCATTTTCTTACAAACGGTGTGGGTATTAGTGAAAGTTGAGGCCAATGTTGGGTCAACAATAGCTAAACTTGATCATATTATGTGAAGAGGAAGATAAATAAATCAAAATCTCAATTAAATATAGCATCTAGGTCGCAACTTTAACACAAAAAAACCTTGGGAATTAAGCGACTTTAGCATCGACTTAAACTTCAATTCAATTTGACTTTAGGAGTTCCTTGATATTTGGATTATACGAATTGAAAGCATGAATGCGTATTTTAGTAGAGAAAATTTAAGTTTAACTCGAGAAAATCTTTAATAATTACATGTTTCTTGCTTTGATGGGCCGACCCAGGACCATGTTCTGATGGGCGGGTCTTCCAGGCCCCGCCTGGCCCATGGACGTTAAAACTCAGAAACGACTTCCACTCACTCCGAAGAAGCTCATCGATCGAACCAGAAAGAGAAAAACATTGAGTCCGTACAGCAATGGTGAAAGCAGTGGTCGGAGAAGAAACCCAGCTCAAATTAGCTGAGGATCGCCTCGAGCAATCCTCTACGCCTGCCCAGGTTCTCTTTCTCTCTCTCTCACTCACAAAGAGAGAAACATGGCTGATTCTGAGTTTTACCGGTTTTGTTTGCTATGCAAGTTCAGGTGGGTCTTCTCATAGGCAAGCTCAGCTCTTCTCTAGACCGAGGCTTCGTCTTCGATATCGTCCCAACCCCACCAAACGACGCCGAAGCGCCTGCTTGTTCCCTTGTCGAGCCCACCAAGGACGACAAGAGAAAGGGAACCAAGCCCAAATCTCAGTCCTCCGATTCCTCATCTCTCTCCATTGACAAGGATTGGGTCGCAGAACATGCTCGCCAGGTCAATTACATATAAAAATGTTCCCATATATGCGTAGTTATATTTGTATATTCCTTCTTTATATTGTTTGTATCTATAAAATCTAATTTTGATATGGTTTCTGGGTCTTGTTCATTGTGCTTGTGTATGCATTTTATGGTATTTTAGGTGTCTAGAATGTTAGTGGGTGGCATGAAGGTGGTTGGCATTTACATCTGGGCAAGTGAAAGTGCGTTTAAGAATTCCAACATTGCGCTTTGCCAGGTATTCTTTTGGCCCTGAATTGGATTAATCTTGTTTCGTATATCTATGTTTTTTTAGCACAGTTTGATTTTGATTGCTGTATAGCATGCTATTTTGGGACTGTGGCTTTATGAGCTTGCTTGTGTCGAGAAGGATGGATGGCTTTAAGCGGGCAGTGCTCCACTTAGTGACAGAGAAAATATCTAGAAAGGAAAAAATAAGAGATGGATGGCTTTAAGCGGGCAGTGCTCCATTTTTAGCTTTTGACTGTTAGATTTTGATACATTCTATAAGGCCTATCAAGTAAAGCTGAATTTCATGAAATTAGGTCTAATACAACCATGGGCTTTAGTTGATGCGCCCTTTTCACTTTAAAAAACCTAATATAATATAGCCCTCATGGCCATGTTAATTTGCATTGACCAAGGAGAACCTGGTCAGGTTCTCTGTGATGAAACTTTATAATTATGATAAATCTAACAGAAAAAGTATTCTTGGCTGGTTTACTTGCAAAGAATGGGTCAGCTATGATAAATATGGGACTGCTTATATTCATTTTAAACTTTAAAGTTATCCTATGCATATACTGGGAAAAAATGACTTTTAATACATATTAATGGAAAAGGCCCCTTGCAGACTGTAATGGGAGTTGCCAAAGCAGCGCCCTGCTCAGAGAGTGATTGGGATGAGAGACTGCTTATTCACATCTCTTATAGTCCAAGGAGGTAACTTCCCTACCTGAATTCGATAATTTTTTATTGTCCCAATTATGCTCTCTTAGTTATTGTCAAAGGGTATTTGACAAAAGAGGCTATTTCTGTAGGTGGACATGTCGAAATTGTGCGGTTGCTTCAAATATTACATCAAGCAGCCTAAGGCCTTGTGATTTTAAAATGGGAAGGGTCCTAAATTCCCTTCAAAGATTTAGGTGCATGTACAATTTTGATATCAGGTACTGTCTGCTTTTCTTATTAAGAAAAAAAGAAAAGGAAATTGATATCTTAAAACTTTTTAAATATAATTTCATGTGACTTTCAAATGCACTAGAATTTAGGACCCATCATTCCGTTTGAATTGAAGTTAAAGTAAACAATGAGCTCAGTCCAAACGAAAGCAAACAATGATCTGATGATTCAACTATCAAGTATATCAATATCTAACAG